TGCCTTCCAGCAGAAGTGCTTTCAGGTAAAAGAGGGTGACTCTGAATATTTCCCAGCGACATATGCCTGTTGCGAACGAGATGACTATATTCTAACGCAAGCGCCCACAAAAGAAAACTACCAAGACTTCTGGCGAATGGTTTGGAGGGTGCGACTTTTGATTTTTCGCTCTCTCATCGTACTTACTCGCTAGTCTACAGGATGGCTGTAAAATTTGTGTTTCATTGAGTGAGAAAGTAAGCGATACCGATGCAACGTTATGCTATCCGTACTGGCCTATGAAAGAAGGCGAGAAGATGGTAACAGGAGGAAATCGATTTGTGATAGAATGTCAGAAGAAAAGTGATTGCAAAGGATACTCTATCTATGATCTCCAGCTATCAAGTACAGACCCTGCATTAGATACAAGCGCGAGTAAATTATCATCACCGGTACGATCCTTGTCAGTCCAGTCAGGAACACATTATTGTGCTGGTTTTTTCAGAAGGATGAACAGGACGAAGAACTTAGCGGGAAGAAAAGCAGACCGGTGAATCTTCACTCTTAAGCATCATTTTTGCTTGATTGCTACTGTATATGTTGATCGATGAGAGAACAATTCACAGCTAACTCTCATGCACTATGAGTCATGGTCGGCAGACACTTGGCCAGATCTCGACACACTTGGACAATTTGTGCAAGCACTTTCCCATCGAGAAATTCAAGTCAGTTGCTGGTTTTCTGTTGAAATGTTGAGGAATAGATGGCCAAGTTCAGGTCATGAGAAAATCGTTGGACAACTACATTCCACCTGTGGTGATTCAGAGTTATGATGGCCTCGGCAGGTAGTTGCTTTTTTGATTTTTGGTTCATGCATGGGAGAGCCGCAACTGCTCGTATAGAGCTCCTGTAATCTGGGTGTCCACTATTTTGATGAAGGATATAGAAAAAAAGGAGTGCTTCGATGTGGAGGACCTTGCTAAGAAATGCGCTAGGTATAAAAGATTCGTTTCTGACTTTCTTTTGCACCCCATTCTGTTCAATCCAGGATTAGGCCTGGTGCATTCTACAAGAAAGTTCACTTTTGCGTAGTGATAGCCTTGGCATTTCGGCTTTCTTCATTAGGTGGATGGAGCACTCTTGCAGTAGGCATTTTTCAGCATTAATTTGAAGTTGAAACTTACTAAAATATTCAGGATGCACGCAAAAAAATTAACGACATACAGCAGGCTTATGAAGCAAGTTTGAAATCCTAAGTGCAGGGCAACATTGATCGTTACAATACATATTCGAATAAATATCCTGACTGAATTTGAAATTGGGTCGAATAAAAGTTTTTATGTGTTCCCGCTGTGATGCCTCCTCGATATACTTCGCATTGCTCGTAAATCCAGGACGCAACAGATTTGTCGGACCGCTAGGAGCAGCACAAGCTATAGATTCGTGGGCCTAGGCTTGAGCTTATGCTTAGGTCCACCTTAACAGGTATCAATATATGCTATTGACTTGAGCCAATGATCAATATGCTGCATTCATATGAAAAAAAAGAACAGTACTCTTGTGTAGGTGTTC